GCGGGACCCTAAAACTCCCTCCTAGCTTGAATGAACGGCCGTGAGTTCGCCCGGCCGGAGCGGAAGAAGACCGGCCGGTGCCCCGGAAGCAGTCACTGCAACTTCCGGAGGGGTTTGTACGCCTGGTGCCGGAGGTCTGGGGCCCCGAGACTGTGTTTGAAGTAGTGGGTGTACCAACATGTCCCGTGGTTCCAGCGCTGGTTTTGACCGCCACATTACCATTTTTTCGCCCGAGGGCCGGCTTTACCAAGTAGGTGAGTGAACCAAGTTCGCCCGATGGTCCACCTGAATTGCCCTGTCATGGTTCGGCCTGGAGCAAGCAGACGCGACCCGAGTTTAGTCTGGAGCTGAAGCAGGGCCGGAGTTGGGAAGGAAGCGCCTAGGCGAGGTTGCGTGCGTTGGTGTTCACACCCATCTGGAAGCAGGCTTCTGAGTCTCAAAGGCGAAACAAAAGCCTGGCCTCGTCTGGGCGAGCGCCGCAGCGCCTCAACACAAAGAGTTAAGGCAGACAAGACTAATGCCTGCCTCTGGCTTCCTGAAGCCCTTTCATTTCCATTTTGTCCTGATAGGCCCAGAGTCTTATCTCCTCGAAATGATTGCTTCCTTATCCTCCCAACTCAAATGCCCCCTGTTTTTCTTTGTTTGCAGCATGGACTTCCTTGTCCTGTGGTTAAATCCACGCAAGCATTCAAAGGTTCCTGGGCTGTTTCTAGGGGTTACAAAAATAAATATTACACTCTGTCCCATACTTGGACCTCACAGCATAAAGGAAGTGATTGACATGTAACCAAATGGATAAGAAGGAAATGAGAAGTGCCAATTTTCAAGTGTCTACCAAGTTCAGGACATCTTTGGAAAACTGTAGATTGAATGAATGGCTTCCAGTTATAGAGCTGCTCTTGAAACTGGCATCTTCTTTTAACCCACACCTATGGGATTGCTCCTAAAGTTTAAAAGCTGGTTCTGAATTTTAGATGAGGTATGATGTACTGTTACTGAAGATCAATTTTAGTGAAAAGAATCTTAAACTAGTTATCAATTATTCAATTCAGTTCAATTGCAGCAATGTCGGAGTAAGGTTATTATTAAAAGCAGGCCTTTGACCTCTTGCCATAGAGAATTTAGTGTTAGAAGAGTCTGATTTACATCTGGTCTGTAATAGTTTTATTTTCTTTAGTTTACTACCTTAGTGTCCTGGCAAGAGCAGTAATCATCTTGCTTAAAAATCTTAAGTAGAAAAAAAATCGTAAACAGAAAGGTAGCCTATAAATGACGTTCTAGTCACCTGTAAATTTTTAACAGAGGTAAAAATAATTTGGAGGAGGGACTGGGACTGGGGCTCAGCTGTAGCACTTGGCTGGCATGTGTGAGGCACTGGGTTTGATTCTCAACACCACATATAAATAAATAAGATAAAGGTCTATTAACAACTAAAAAAAAAATTTAAAAAACACTTGGAGGGCTGGGGATGTAACTAGGTAGTAGAGTGCTTGCATGCAGAGGCCCTGGGTTCAATCCCCAACACCACCAAAAAAAAAAAAAAAAGCTTGGATGGAACTGGTTCATTATATTGCTACATACTGTATATAATGTGGCAACAAACAGCATCATGTTGAATCAGTAACCTTTTTAACTTGACCTCAATTGAAAAATATAACCAAAGATAAAACAAAGAGATGACAGCTGTCTCCTGGAGGATTTTTCATTTTTAGTGTTTTATTCATGAGTTTTAAAAAATTTTCCTATGTTGGACTACTGCTTTGAGTGTTATTTTTGTGCTTTTTAATTTGTGAACAGAGAAAGCCATACTTAGACCTATGTCTTGCCTATATATCCTGCATTGTAAAATCTAGCCATAAAGCATCTTTTTGTTTTGTTTTTGTTTTTGTTATAGTGGTGGAAGTTAAACTCAGGGCCTCATACTTGGCTAGGGAAGCACTCAGTCACTGAGCTATATTACCAACCCCAAAATATAGACTATTTATTTATTTATACTGGGAATTGAACCCAAAGTCACTTTGCCAGTGAGCTATATCTCCAACCTTCTTATTTTTATTTCTTAATTTTGAAACAGTCTCATTGAGTAGCTGAGGCTGTCCTCAAACTTGCAGTCTTTTCTGTCTCAGCCTCCCTAGTTGCTGGGATAACAAGAGTGCACCACTGTGCTTGGCCTTCAAAGCATAGTCTGTATTGCTTCTCAGATTTGGTGAATAGAAAGGCTGGATAAAGTGTCATTTTGATAGGATTTGGAAGAGAACATGCAGTTCAAAACAAGTTTAAGATCTAAACAGAATGATTTTGATATCTGTGCCTTGTTGAATAGCACTCTTCTGCTATTCAAGACATCAGTTAGACATTGCTGAGAGAAAGAAAGTGAAAGAATGGTTAGTATGAGCAAGCAGTATAGTGGTGAAGAATTCAGGCCCCGGAGCCATACCTGGATTGAGATCTCTGTTCTATACTAGCTGATTTGGACAAATTATGTAATCTTTGCTTTAGTATCTTTTTGCAAATTAGGCTAATAATAATTCCTTCTCATAAGGTTGTTTTGAGGATTAAATAAGGCAATGCATGTCTGCTACATACTAATTCCTCATAAATGTTATCACATGCTTTTTTGATTCTTTGGCTTTGGGGGTGGAGGGTCTATTAAATTAGTAGTTCTGTAGATGTGGAATGATTTCCTTTCTTTGAATCCATCTATGCTTAGTTCTCCTGTGAAATATGTGTATATATTCATTATTTGTAAATGCTATTTATTAGGTTTATAAACTCTAGAATCCTCCAAAGACAAAGCATCTAAGAATTGTAAGGTGCAAATTATTAATCTTAACTGCCAGAAAATTACCTAACAAAAATAAAGTGATGATGAAGAAAAGATTAATGGAAAAGTAAGAATGTTCCTCATCTTCCATAGTTAAGACTCAAAGAGATAAATGTTGAGGATGGAGGAGTGTAGCTCAGTGTTAGAACACTAACCTAGCATGCCTGAGATCCTGGGTTCAGTCCCCAGTACCAGAACAAATAAATAAATGTAGTCTAAAGATGATAAATAGAGGTATAAATTGAAAGTTACAGTTCTAAACATAATGTTATAACTGTAAGAGTATAACATTGACAATGTTTGCTCCAAGTAAGTAGGGAGAAAGGTTTTTTTCCCCATTTTATACTCTTTGGTAGTATTTGAAATTTTTTTCTTAATATATGTATACAAGTATTTTGCTTACACATGTTAAAAATCATAAAGTACTGTTGGGGATGATGACACATGCCTGTAATCCCTGTGCCTTGGGAGGTTGAGGCAGGAGGTTTGCAAGTTTAAGGCTAGCCTCAGCAATTTAGAAAGATCCTGCATCAAAATAAAAAATAAAATGGGCTCGGGATGTAGCTCAGTGTTAGAGCATCCTTGGGTAATACCCAGTATCACCAAAAAAAAAAAAAAAAATTAGAGCACCTAGATTTGAAATTTAGTTTTCAGGGATGTAGCTCAGTAATAGAACATAATTTAGTGTGAGGTCATGTGTTCATTCCCAGAACTGCAGCAGAGCAGAAAAAGAAATTTAATTTCAGGACACCTAGCTTGTATATTATAATGTTGTAAACCTTAAATATATACAATAAAATTTTATTTTTGGTACTGGAGATTGAACTTGGGGGTTCTTTACCACTGAGCTGTATCCCAGTCCTTTTTTAAATTTTTTATTTTGAGATAGGGTCTCAGAAAGTTGAGGAGGATCTCACTGAGGCTAGGTTGGCCTCAAATTTTCATTCCTCTTGCCTAAGCCTGGGATTACAGGCATGTGCCACCACACCCAGTTTAAAACTTCCTTTTAAAAAAAATTTAATTTGAGCAATTCCTCAGTTTACCAGTGGGGAAAATGTAGTTGATCAAATTAAGGTTGGCTACATTATTTTCCCCCTGAGGCTGGCGATTGAATTCAGTGCCTTAAGCATGCTAGGCAAATAACTCTACCACTGAGCTACACCTTCAGCCCTTTTGTATGTGTGTGATGTACTCAGGATTGAATCCAGGGTACTCTACCACTGAGTTATATCCTCCTAGCCCTTTTATTATTTATTTTGAATATACAAATATTAAATATTTTATATTTTAAGTTGCTGAAACTGGCCTTAAACTTGTAATTCTCCTGCTTTAGCCTCCCTAGTAGCTAGGATTACAAGCATGGACCACCATGTTGAACGCCAGCCCTTTTTATTTTATTTTTATGTATGTGTGTATTTTTACCAGGGGTGTTTTGCCACTGAGCAACATTCCTAGTCCTTTTTATTTTTTATTAACAGGATCTTGCTAAATTACCCAATCTGTCCTCGAATTTACCATCCTGCCTTAGCCTCCTGAGTAACTGGGATTATAGGCTTGTGCTACCACATGTGGCTGGCCAGCCGTGCTGCTTAAGGCTCCTCTTGTGCTTTTTGATGCTTCGCCGGATAGGTCTGACAAAGAAGAATAGGATGGGCACTTGGATTTGTCTGCCATGCCAGTTGAATGTGAGGACTGCCTAGTTGCTTCTAAACGAAGCATATTGTTATGGAACTCAAAAGAAGTGGACTGGTAGAGAGAGATTGGAAAAGATAGTTTGTAAATAAAATGTGAAAGTAGTATTTATTATGTTATTGAAGCCAGAGTTCCTGGATTCGAGTCATCTCCACACCAAATGTGAGAATTTTCTTCATTTATAAAATGGAGATGATTCTACCTAGTTTTATGAGGCACCAAGATTTATGAGTTGATGTGTGCAAAGCACTTAGAACAGTGCCCAGTATATAAGCACTCAAATGTTTCGGTAAGTATTGCTATTAAGAAGAAACGGGCTGGGGTTGTGGCTCAGCAGTAGAGAGCTTGCCTCAAACATGCAAGGCTCTGGGTTCGATCCTCAGCACCACATAAACATAAATATATAAAATAAGTATGTTGTGTTCAACTACCACTAAAAAAAAATAAATAAATATTTTTTAAAAAGAAGAAGAAGAAATAGCTGGACGCTGTAGCACACACCTGTAATCCCAGCAGCTCAGGAGGCTGAGACAGAAGGATCACAAGTTCAAAGCCAGCATCAATAACTCAACGAGGCCCTAAGCAATTCAGTGAGACCTTGTCTCTAAATAAAATTTTAAAAAGGCTGGGGGATATGGCTCAGTACTTAGGTGCTCCTTGGGTTCAATTGCCAGTACCAAAAAAAGAAGGAGAAACAAGTCGCTGATGTAAATGGAGTAGAAACTCAAATAAATGAGC